GATTAAACATTAAGCTCGTCAAATATGCATTGTATATAAAGGTTGGGAAATACTCAGAGCTGATGTTTGTCATCATGGAAGTATATTATAGTCCGTCTCTTAAAATGATTCCTAAGCCCCAATTTTCCTTTTTTTGTTTCTAAAAAAATAATCAGACTGTTCAAGTACTTATTCGTTTCCCTCTTTGTTCCTCAAAGAAATATTCATATAATTATGCTTAACGGTCTGAGCTTTTATTCTGTTCAGAATAAGCTCAGTTGTATCGTCTTCTTAAAGTTTTAGGAAATAAATGATAAAATTGAATTCTAGATTGCAGATAGAATCTTGTAAAGCATTAGTTTGCGGAGAGATAATTGCAAAATTATTAGAGATTTGTTAGAAAGATTTATTTGAAATATTTGATTTACATATTGCACGAACTTATTTGTTGGAAAATGTATATTTATGTCCTTATGCCCTACTTCAATGATTTTAAGTAATACATTTTAATTTTCTGAAATATATCTTGCTATAGAATAATAAACTTAAAACGATATAAAACGTTATCTGCATTTATATGACACGATAAGGAATACATGATAGTCATTTTATATATACATAGGATTGTGAAAATGTTTACATGTACAAAATACTTTTCAAAAACACTGGATCCCAAGAAGAATACAAGAACATAGACAGAATGACAATAAAACGGGAGAAAATAAACGTTCATACATTGCTAAAGTATAAATACCCCAAGTACTTTCGGCGTACTTTCGGCGTATAATGCCTTCATCAGGAACGTGTAGTATATATGTATTATATGCAAACAATAGAGCACAAAATCTTTATACTTGAAGAGCAAACACTAATAATATAAAGCCAATTATTCTATGAATAATTTCGCAAGACCTTTCAAGGTTTCCTCTATTCTATCCAATCTATCACTTATAAACACATGTATGTCTCATGACTGTCATGATGGAACACACTCTGGGGAATATATCAACCTGGCAGAACAATGTACTGGAAAGAATTAATCATGCACAGCAATTTTTGTATTTACGAGATACCAACTGCGGTGCAGTACTTTTAAGGTTAGGGCTATTTAGATAAAAATGAAAGCATGTTTCAACCTTGAATGCATGAAATTAAATTCTTTTTCGGTGCAAGCTTCTTTATTGAATCGTCGTTAAAGTATGTTGCACGGAATGACTTCCCAACTAATTCAGATTATTAAATGCCACATATTTTGTGCTGGGATATGGCAACCTTCTATATATTCCAGTAGCAGTTCATTATATTTCATGTCATACGTGCTCAATAATTGCTCTCTAAAGTTCTCTATTTGCGTACAAGTAGTGAAACAATGCTACAGACTTTCCTCTATTTCAGATCGATGAAGATTTAATTTGATATTCATTGCGAGAAAAGATTTTGGCTGAAATAAACGAGTTGCCTTTTAAGGCTATTTCCAGGTAATAAATCATTTGATGCATGACAGTTTTAGGCGAACATGGATTAAGAACGCATGCACGCACACACGCACTTGGGTAACACTTTATGCACCCTTGCCATTATCTTGAAAGTGTCATGGCGACCAATACTCAAAAATATTTTAGGGATAAATGTTTAATACATTAGTAAATGATAAAAGAAAATATGCTTGATTAGCAAAAATCATTTATATAATTTATATAAAGTTAAAACGATAAACATAAAAAACCAAAAACATTTAAATCATGTAATGTACAAATAGAAAGTATATAAAAAGATAAAATCCCTGTTAAAAACAGTAATGGAGGAACATATTCAGTTATTAGTGTGTCAAGTAAATAAATGTCTTTTTTCTAAGCAGGTTTTGGCACCCAACCTCACTCTTGTTCTCTCGTGTTGTAATACTTTTCACCTCACCCATATATACAAATCAATCCAGCATAGCTTTGACTTTGCTAAACGATTCCTTACAAAAAGATATTCAAGCTACTACTATTGTAAAATATCTGTACTCGTAAAACTAGATGCAACCCAACATATACATTTGACTGCTACACCACTTTGTCTTTAAAACTGATTTATTAAAAAAGAAATTCTATTCAATTTCAGGCCTTTTCCACCATTACCCATATAATTGTATTAATTTAAATCTTAATATTATTTGGTCACCAATTATAAAATCATTGTGTACATGCAATTTGACTTAAAAAGTTTGGCCAATACTCGAATCATATTTACTTGAGAACTGTGTGAAAAGACAAGTCATTATTTCTTAATAGATTGTCCACTTACCTTTTAGTTACTTAAGCTCTGTCTGCCAGTTAATGTCCATACTATTTTACTCCATCACTTGACAGGGTCAAAGTCATGTTTCGATGGAATGTCTATTTTGATAATTTCATGCGATCATGAATAAGCAAAAAAGATGTAGCATAAACGTGTGCTTAATTACAAGATAAATGAACATAATTGCAAAATTGCAAATGTAAATATCATATAATATCAACCAATTTAGCTAATAATTATACATCTTACGGTAAGAAGATCGTGTATTATTGATCATGAAATGATTATATCATGTTAGTTATATTATATCATGTTAGTTATATTATATCATGTTAGTTATATTATATCATGTTAGTTATATTATATCATGTTAGTTATATCTTATAATTATGGTCTTGTTTTCCTCCAACTGTATACTTTCCTTTATATTTTAATTAGAATATAATACGGTCGTAACATTGTTTAAATCTACATATTCACTTTAAATATCAGTTTATATTCTGCAACTTTAAAATGTAAATGATAAAGGGATTTCAATTATTCCATTCACGTAAATTGGTAAAACTAATACAGTGGAAGGCTATTTGATGGTCCTAATAATAGTCGTGAAACATAATTGTGTCAAAAAATGCCTATTGAATTAATGATGAGTGTTTTTGTACACTCAAATTAACTGGTTATTATGGTCGAAACTTGTGGCGGTTGGAAGTCTGTCTGTCTAACATATAACTATTACATACTATACTCACATAACACTATGTACTTTATTATTCTGCTGTTTGAGTTTGATAGAGCCAGTTATAAATGTAAGTTTATATATCGCCATGATGTTATGAATGCGTATCTAAATACCAGTTATAACTGGTTCTATATGGAACATGTATCATGGAAAATGTATTAAAGGAAAGCGCAGCTTTTAGATTCAAAACCCATCTCCCATTAAAATAACAAAATTGCAGGCAAAATTACCATACGAAATCAATTTAAATGATGCATGCTGCATATTATTTGACTTATGCTGATTAAATATTGCATTTCCAACGTTTTGGAACACTTATATGTTTTTCACAGTTAGCTTTATTTAATATAAATTCCGACAGAATGTCTTATGATGCTATTGTATATTAGTTATAATCGTTGACACTATAATCAAGATAGGAAGTCATTCAGGTCATTCTGTAACACAATTATTTAGGATCAGCAAAACAAATAATCTATTTTCTTTGTTCCTACATGGAATAACAATATGGATCAGTTACCACTATGACAATAGATATGATTTTCAAAACTCTTCAAAAATTAATTGAAAAATATATTTGTCAATGCATAAGTAACACGGATTGTTTATGGTTTATAGCTACAATAGTGCGCTACCTACATGTACCTTACCTAGCGTTATCCATCACTTACATGTCAGCACCACTTTGACTATATTCATGTGTAACATAGAAAGTCTACGTCGAAACATTGTGTCAAGATAATCAATACTTACATGGTGGACTTCTTTCTGTTGCTGTGATTTTAAGGAATGGTACAGCAGTATCATTACGGACAGATTATGCTCAATTTTTGCAGTATCTGAGAAAGGACTGTTACAGAACTTTTACTATTAAATGTCAGAAAGTCCGTTATGGAGATTGTTTTTCTTTTCTTTTTGTTTTCTTTTAGTTCTTTTGTTGTTGTTTTTCCTTCTTTTTTGTAAAGATAAATAATAGTAATCGTCAGGTACCTCTCCGTGCATAACTTCAGACACAAACGACCTACCGTAAGCTAGCTGACAAGCTTCCGTACAATTCCTGGTGAAACTCAAGTCGAAAGCGGCGAGAGGCAAGAGGTTCGATGACAACCACTCGATCGCTGACGCCTTTTTAATCTATATTTAATATCAGATGGTTTTGTTTCAAGTATCATAGTGATAAAAATAGAGTTTCAATTTTCTTTTGTTGAGATATTTTTAATATGTAAAACGTCAACTGTTTCGTTTGTTAAGTTTTCTTATTGTTACAAACCTATTTATACACATAGGAGACCAGTTCCCTATGCATGTACAACACTAGTCTCAATTCCAAATCATCCTTTTATATAAAGATTTTTGTATATATAAAATCTTACTAATTTTAACCTTGCTGCGACATTTCATTATACATCCTGGACCACAATGGAAACAAGTGAATTCACACTTATTTTTTGTGTCATCCTGTGTATATGAAATATATGCCCTGTTACACATTTACATTTTACCAATAACATCGAGGTATTTGATATCTTTTATATAAAGTTTTTTAAAATTATTATTATTATTTTACTATGTTTAAGTTTGTCTTCCTATCACTCGTCTTAAGGTTTTGTTTTACAGTGATAATTAATTGCTTTTTAATTATGCTTTTTATTTGTTGTTGTTTTACTGATAACAAGACTTATGTGATCTTGTGTTGCTATTATTATTATTATTTAATGAGTAAATATATATTCTGTTCGATTTGTCATAAACAGTCTTTATTGTTATTCACATATGTTACTCTTTCATTTGATCAGATATATGATAATATAAATTTATTTCTTATCTAAAGCATTAATCTAGTGAAACATATGTTATTGTTGTTTTGAATTTCATAAGAAAGGTCAAAGTGACACAGTAAAATTATTTGTTCACCATTAGATTTACATCCACTACTGTTTGCATGAATTTCAAAATTAATTATAATTGAATTTAACAGGTAAATGGCAGTAAAAGAAGAGGAAGTGACATATTTATTTGCTACTTCAATTTACATTAATTTTAAATGACAAGAGCAATTGAAATACATGCATGTAGTACTCCAGTCTGCCATTTAAACACTTATTCTGGAATATAAAAAAGAAGCATATTAGTTAATATGATCACGTATTTGATTGATTTTATGAATGATAAATACTTAAAAATTATACGTGGTTGTTTATTTATAAAGATAGGAAAAGAAGCTCGCTCTGAACTGTTTTGTAAAAAACAAAGGAATCTGATGTCATGCCGTTTTCTTTTTACGCATTTTTGCCATTAACTTGAGAAAATGTGAAAACACAAAGAAGTAAGGCAAATCTACGACACATAAATGTGTCAAGCTTCTGCCTCTTATTTGTCCTATCTGTGCATTTTAGCATATTTTCTGTTTTGCATTTCAGCTTTTTCACATTTTTTACATCTAACTTTCCACAATTGTATATTGTCGTATTTTTGGCATTGTTGCAATTTTGCTTTTGCATTTTTGCTTCTTCTCGTCTTCGCGTTAAGCTTACACATGTGCAGATTCATTTACATATATGCCATATACATCATGTGTTATAACCATGTGTTATCATGTGCGCATGAGTTTGTACAGCCGAAACGCGAAAAGGCGACAATGCAATATCAAAAATGCTAAAATGTATAAATGCGATAAAGCGAGAATGTAACCATGCGAAAGAGTGAGAAAAAACAACGGCAAAGTCGAATCTTCGTCTTTGTTGCATTTCTGTTACGGAAAAACAAAGGCACAATATATGTAATGAAAAAAAACATAACACGTCCTATGTGTAGTAATTTTTCCTGATTTTATCGTCCCTTTTGCTTGTAACCTCTAGAATATGTTTTCGCATTTTTTAGCGCGAAAGCGAAAATACGATACGGCGTCCAGCAGCCATAGATAACTAAAACAAGTTTACCTTATTGTATACTGTAACAGCAACATATGTCTGGACAAAGAGTGTCGCAGGTATGACCATTATATACTCCAACTGTACCATCAAGCGCAGCGCACAGCGCCCGACTCATACACTTACATTTCAGTAAAGCATCTGAAAAGCAAACAGATTTGGGATTAATTTGTGATTTTCTAAACAACGCCACATGGTAAATAAAATTCTTTGAAAGTTTTTTTAAAAGACAATCCACTGAGATCAAAAGCCTAAAAACACTTTTTTTTCTTCATAGATCAACTGGTGAACTTGAAACAGAAAGATTTCCAACAGATAATTACGAAATATACACAGAAGTAAATTAAAAATCGTAGTTTGTGATATTCTTAAGAGAAAACCATTGCAGAGCTATTCAATATGGGTCATTGTTCACAATGAGAATAGCTTTTGTGGAAAAAGACAGAGTGAGGAATGGTCTCAAATCTTGCACACAAGATATTGGTCTAACCTATGTCAAACTGAACATTAATCCCGAAATATTATTTTCAGTGTCCATCGTATCAAAAAACCACAGTGGAGTTCCCTTAAACTAGAATGAATAATTGACATATTCAATGTCTCCTGTATCGACCATATATCCGTATTACGTATGGCAAAGTATATTTGAACTAGGTTATGACTTTTGGCATTTTATCGTTAACCAAAACGTTATACAATGGTCATAAAATGTGTGATTTGGCACTCTCGTGGAAATTCCTATTGAATCAGTATTGACAACATTTAGCCGTCTGGGCTCAATCATAAAATTTGTTGCAACCTGAATGGTTCCAGGCAAATCTCAAGTAACTTTCACCATTTTTGACAGCCAACAGTCTGCCGAGTTTGATAACAAAAGCGAAGTCGACGTTTGCCTAATCATGCAAATCAGAAGTCGTTTAAACTTATCAGAAGTTATGGCTTCAATCCATATTTTACATTTATTATCTAAAAAACTTGATCATATATTATATTATCATCTGAATGAATGCAAACTACAATTTAAACAAACCATAAATGTTTTTCTTTTAAATAGACAGTACGACCGTAATCTCACAGTAAATGCTTGGTTTGGTTTAACGTCTCACCAATACAGCAGCGGACATATTGCCGTATATATACATTTAGTTTATACAAATTTATTTTAGTTCGATTGTGTTGGAAGCTATAAGCGTATTAAAACACTCTTGAATCAGTTCCTGAAACCAACCAGTACTCAGCAATAATGTAAAGTTTCTTGCTCAAGCAAACAACGGCTTGCCCATGGCAAGGTTTGAACCTACGCTATCAGCAATCCTAAGATTACTAGTCCGACGCGTTAACCAGTCGGCCAAAACCGCAACTTTGAGACATTTGAGCTTAACTTGTGGGGTAAGCACATCCTATGTGCATTATATCAGGTACGAACGTACACCGAAGTAAAACCTACGACGATCAAAAGCTAGTTTCATAGCTTCCTCACATGAAACGATACAAAGCCCCTTGCGGGATTCAAACCCACAGTGAACAGCGGCAAGGGTTTGAAGTAATCGACCCTAACCATTCGGACTGTCTTTCACAGTTTTAATAAATAAGAAACTGTAATTTTCTACTCACAAGCGTCAGCACATTGGTACAGAGCGATTAACAAACAGATCCCAAGAATCAAGTTAGCAAATTTACATGCCATTTTTAATAATAACGCGTCCACAATATAACGTGTAAATCTTGAAATAAATGATGAAATAAGAAAATTGTTATTTAAATTATTTGCTCTATCGATTGTTAACAACAGCTTGTTGTGACATTAGGCTGTTGATGTGATGTTAGTATAAAATGTATTCAAGGGTATTTTTTTATTTTCAAGTATCATCAAAATATCAATGTTGCTATGGCAATTCAGGGCTGTAAACAGAAATCCTACATTCAGAAAAGTGAAGATTTCTAATATTCAAATTCTGAAGAAAGCGCAAACTGCTATGATGTTTTATAAGGGATACTATTAAAGCTAATGTGTTCTATCCACAAGAGATATAAAGCTGCCAGAATGATTTACTAAATAGTGACCACAACAATGATCACGTGGTTTTAATACAATGAAGACATTCGGTCCCGCAGAACGATGTACTACCAGATTAATCGGCAGTACAACAAGGTTTGACTTGAACCTCGTGCTTCCCCTTTTAGTTTACCGAACAGTGCAAGTCAAAATAAGTGAAATATTATCACATAGGCTCTCTAAATTATCAACAGAAGACCACGTCAATGGGCTTGTATATTTCCTCTTTTGTCCATTGTTTTCATAGATGTTACACATGTATCTATGCAATTTAAATGTACTCCTTCATTTCGTGTAGATGACAAAATTTTGTCATTCCATTCCATACACAAAATTTCGAGGAGATGTAATATACTTTGAAATAGTGAAGCACTTTCCGATTAACTAATTGTGGATGAAACATTTGTGAAAACTTAATTAGTGCAACGTCCTTCACATATTTGTCGATACATCAGAAAATAAAGACACATAATATTATTTGATTCATAAACTCTTGCATCAAATGGTGTTACTTCAAACCACCTTCATCGCTGTTGGTTCGAATCCCGCCAGGGTTTGGATTATTTCATGTAAAGAAAATATCCAGCTAGTTTATGAAAAGGCGCTGCTTCTACTCAGGTCAATGTTCGTGCCTGAAATAATGCACACAAGTGCACCTAAGGTTTAGTTAAGTGTGAACCTTTACAATGTTGGTGCGGTGTAAAGCCCACACCCCAACCCCCCTCCCCCCCCCCCCAAAAAAAGAAAATACAAAAAAACAACAAAAACAAACAAAATTTTGATTATACTAGTGGAGTTTTACTTTTTAGAATGAGGAGTATGACAGGATGACACCATTTCCTCTTTTTTGTTATACATGCATCTGAATGATCGTTTTATTTATCTACTTTCTTTGGTCAAAATTTACTTGCACCAACACAGTTAAAGTCATAAGTTGGTGGTTTTACGGCTAACTGGTGGTGGAAGACTTCAGTAGCCCCCTTTTGCATTATTTCATACACATGGTGTAAAACTGAAAGATGTATAGCTTCCTCATATAGAGAATCCTTAGTCCTTGGCTGGATTCGAACAAACAACGGTGACTTGCAGTTATTATCTTGAAGTCGTGACTCTTTTGATAAGCAAAAGGATAAAGATACCGGTGATTTTAAGATATTACTGGATGCTTTGGAAATAGTACTAGTGTCTCTAAAACGGATGAAGATTTACAACATGCTTTGAAGATTTTATTTTAAAATTGTGATTGATGAAAAGCTATCAATAAATGTTGGTTAGAAAAAAGTCACGGTGTTTTTAATACCTATATATAGTACAGAGTTTTGTGCCCTGTCCTGTTTTTGTTTGGGGTCCGACTGGGCTCCTTGCCGCTGGTTCTTGTTGTTGGGTCGTATGGGGGTTGCGTTCATTGAACGCCGCCTTTCCTTGTTTATCCTGTTTATCATATTTTAGTATTTTATTTAGGACACGTGGTATAATGTCATCAAGGACAAACTTTTAATAGCAATGTAATGCAAGATAAATGAATATGTATAACAGATTACAAATCTTTTAAATAAGTATTTCTTGAACTTTTCGATAAGTTGGCATTACCAATTTCAAGTTATTTTTCATAACTTTTAGGTTGCACTTATTCATTGTTCCTCTTGTACAGACTCAATCAAACCGAGTCCGCAATTTTCATGTAATTTTGTTTTGACCAAAGCTTCCAGATTTCTTTTACAAAGTCGTAAAGTAAGAATGAATTTGCATTTGCGTAAAGGCTTATTTGGTTTTAAATACGACATAATGATTTTTTTTTAAATTGGAAACATTTTATTTTATCAAATTTGAATTTTATAGACTATTAATAAATCGTCTTTATCAATTTTGTTGTCGGTTTATATTATGTATTATTTAAATGGTCAGCCCGTCTGTGCTTTGCTTTATATCCTTTTGTATCCTGCTGAGCTCCTTCTCTGTGGTCATGTGTTACTGGATATTGTGGGGGTTGCGTTCATTGAACGCCGCCCTTTCTTGTTGATATTGTTTTTTCATATTTGCAAATGAAATTTGATAGTCAGTTTTGTTTAGAACTAGTACCGCCTCCGTGGTCGAGGGGTTAGAGTCAATGACTTCTAATCAAATTACCTCTCTGGCGTGGGTTCGATCCCAATGAAAAATGAAATAAACAAACAAACAAAAATTGTTTAGAACTAAAGATGATTATTATCCAGGCCAGGTTTCAACGATTTATAATCTTCGCAATCTTTCCTCACCGTCATGAATTTTAGGTACATGAAACGGGATCTAAATAATCTAATTAGTTTTTACTCAAGAGAACCTGTCTACTACTCTTTCAATGATTTTCGTTTTCATATAAAGTTAAGAGTGACATTGTGCTTATTCTGTCATTATCAAGCTGAATTGACAATACATGCATGTTGTTATAATAGTAATTGACCATCAGCTGGTATTGTAAATGTTTAGGATAAAATATAAATCTGACTAGAATATAATAAAACTGCCTGAACACTTTCTCTCATTTCTGCCTCAACTGTCCTTAATTCCTTCTTAAATTCTTCATGTTCGCCGATTTTTTTAGATTTCTTTTTTCTGATGAACTGTCATTTGTTTCAAATCTCTATTTTTTCCTGACTGAATAACCTCTTTAAGTATGTCTTAATAAGAACGCTTCAAAGCTTTATGTTTCGCCGCCCGATCCAACAATTCTTCTAAACGTGATTCATTCAAACTGTTCCACTTTCACATCAGCTCGTTGTTGACATGAATATATTTTTCTCATCACGTTTTTTCTTGACTTTACTATTCCATAGTCGCTGTCAACTTTAAATAGCATTTCTGCAACTGTCACTCCCGGTCCGTCCGAATCGCCTTACTTTGTCGCTTGCACTTCCTTTGAGAGCTCTTCCAATACAATACCTAACATGAGTTGTTTATTTGGCAAAAACTTTATATGTCAACAGCAATTCTACTTCATTATTGAAGGTGACCAAAGTTACTTTCACTTTTTATGATGTTAGCGTTTCAGGTAAATTCCGATAGGTATTTATAGAAAATTCCGTCAACCATGAGACTTGTTCATCGCTCA